GTTATTAGATGTACTAGATAGAACTGTATGTTATTATTAGGATTAAGCTAATGATAAGACTAAAGTAATAGAAACACTAGTATACTATTAGCAACCTAGTAACACGTGCTCCTGAAAGGTACTCAGTTACAAACATCAATTAGAATTTGAGAATGATACACAGAAATAGTTGAAGTTATATCATTTATACCCTAAAAATAAAAACAAGACAAAAAACAATTTAAAAATCTTTATACAATAAAATTAAATATAATTATGAAGCAATAAAGTATATAAAAGTAATAAAATGATAAAAAAAAAATTTTAAAACATAGTTAAAATAATTATAGCTTCATAAGTTTAAAACCTTTAGCTTTTTCAACATCCGAAAATAGCTCAGCTGGTAGAGCGGGAGACTGTAGTTTGTATAGATATCTCTAGGTCCCTGGTTCAAATCCGGGTTTTCGGACTCTCTGCTTCCATGGCGCAATTGGTTAGCGCGTCTGACTGTTAATCAGGAGGTTGCTAGTTCAAGCCTAGCTGGGAGCGAGTATTTGCGTTAGTAGTATAGCGGTAGAATAGTTGCCTTCCAAGCAATTGGCCCGGGTTCGACTCCCGGCTGACGCATCTTTTTTTATTCAAGCCAAGATTTTGATAGTTTTTCTACTTTACACTACTAAAATAAAATAGTGGCATTTTATTTTATGGAACCTAGTTTCAATTTATTGAACTAGAGTCGTAACAGCTCTCATATCACATAGATTCTTGGATTTGTTGGATCGGAAAAAGTGTATCAACCTGTTATACGGACATTAATTCAAGCATCCCTTGCCCCCATCTAGACTTGTTGGTATCCTCACCGTTTTATTTGGATTTTTATTTTCAGATGCTCTTAAAGGCGATTCATTTTTCCCTATTATTTTAGTCAATGATAAATACTAAAACATATTCTACACTGGACTATCACCAGACTTTTGATGTTTTTTATTTTCTTCATTTGATAAGAATGAACGATTCCACAACAGTTTGCACTGGTGAACTAAAACTGCAATTTAATGGTGCTTTTATTCTTTAATCTATGTTTCATAGCTCTTTTTTTTTATATACATAATACTTGCATTACGCTTATGGGCTTACTCATTCCTGGAGAGTCGTTTGGGTTGCTTTTCCTTGTCAGTTATTTTTGAGATGGTTTGCACATTCCACATAGTAACATAAACACAAACGACTTGAGAATTAGCATTCTCCAAACGGCATTAGACGTATATAGCCTGCTGTATGCAGCTATTCGCTCTTTCTCGTGTCTTGTTCCAGTCACTTGAAGTTGTATGACCAATAAACAACTATTATTTGACAGGTGATGAACTGTCCTAGCTGAAAAGATGCACTGGAATATTTCTGTACCCAGTCCTTGCAATAAATAAATAAACAATTAGCGGTTAGTAAATTAGTAAATTAGTAAACACAAGCAAATTTCAATACATTTTTGAAAGCACATGGTATTTTTTTTTTTTTTACCAGCTGCACAGCTTCCTCAGGAGAAAATCTCTACTTCACTATTTTCTCATCTCCATCTAATGAAGTGCTAATTCGATATTTCATAATCCCCAGGCGTGTCTCCCTGTCGCTTTATTCTCTACTTCTTATAATTCTTTGTAGCTGAACTCTCCAATTTTCCTATCTAGCAATTTTTATGTATATTTGAATTTCAAGTAGTACCAATGTATTTTTATTCTTACCTGTTTATATTTTTTACTCTTTTCAGCAAATCTACACCAGTCAATTTTTCGTTTAATCCCTTCAAGAGCTCACATGTTTCTTTGAGCTCTAGTTTAAAACAAAAGAATTCGTTATGGAAGACTACTATTATTGATGCTTTGTCTTCTGATACCCGCTATTCACGATTCTTGAATTATCTTCAACGACTTCAGCTAATTCTAGAGTTTAATAGTCTCACAAATGTAACAATCCTTGCTCCAACGAATGAAGCCTTCGAAAAGTACGAAAAGCAACTTCAGTCTAAATCTTCTTCAGAAAATAATGCTTCCGCAAAAACAAAAATCAAATCTCCCCATTTTAGCCCTATATATAATGATTTAACTCAAGAAAGATTGCTCCTTACTGTTATTCGTGATGGTGTTTATGGCTCTAGTTCTTGGGTTAATGGAATGGTTTGGGAATCTATATCTGGCTGGAGACCCGCAGACACAGATGAGTCCTCTCCCAGTAAGATTCCTGTAGACGGGATAATGCTAAAATCCAGAATCGAAAAAAATGGGAAAATCATGATTGGCAACGTTGAAGTCCAAGACGGAGAAATCTGGTGTACCTCTGGTGTTGTTCTCCCAATAAGCGGAATCCTCGATCTACCACCAAGGCTATACGACATCCTTTCCAAAAACTTTGTAGATCCTGGTTCGTACAATAAAGAACTTTTAGCGAATAATTCACAGTATTCCTTCTTTATTGAAGCTTTAAGAGCCTCTAAATGGGATTCAAGGATTTTTTTCAATGACAAAAACACCAACTTGCTTGACCCAAATACCACCGTAAGTGGATTTTACTTTACATATTCCTTTATTGGCTTTTTTGCTTGCTTTTCTTTTAGCGTATTTTGACAATGGTTCATTTTTATGCTTTTATTTTATACTGTTTTTTTCTAGAGGATCAAACATACTTTATGGGTCCCTAAAAATTCTGATTTTGCATCAATGCTTACCAGACCTCAGTGGAACTATATCACTGGATTTGACTCTCTGCCGATTAACGAAAAAACCAAGCTTGCTGCTCTTTCAGACCTTAGGTCTGCTATGAGGAATTTCGTTTCCCCAACAAGTATTAGTCTTGCAAGGCTAGGACTTGGTTCGCACCAAGGTAAATGTTTTATTCACATTTTTTACTTATATATTTTTTAGTTTATAATCT